ACATTTTCACTGACATCGATTACTCAAAGACCTCTAATAAATATGACCGCAGAAGTTCCCTCCTTAGAGAAAGGGGGAAAGTGGAAGCTTCTACACAATGGAATCAAATAGACACAGTGCTAACTTCCATTCACATATCACGTTTTATAGCGCATTTTATCAATAAAATGACTCCATGGTAGATGTGAAAAAACAAAAGCTATTAAAGCCATTACAGTGTGCTGCAGAGTGAGAGTTCGTTAATGAGGCAGGCGTTGGTTTCTTCCCAGATTTTGCCAGTTTCTGTCTGTCTGAACGTGGACATCTGTGGGAGTAACAGTACCTCCCACAGATGGTCGCTGGGAGACGGGGTGCTGCGGCGCCTGCAGAGCGTGCCGCTGTGCCTGTCACCCAGTAAATAGTTACTATGTATCGGTTCTCACAGCCGTTTCTGGTACCTTCCCTCTTTCTCAGTGACTGTGACGCATAAAGATATAGCACAAAATCAAGGTTAATTAAATACAGGAAATTAATTTTCTTGTATAAACTGTTTCTCACATTTCTTAAATAGGATAATAATATTACCCTAAGTAATATCTCAGTGGCTTTAGGAATCAGTCCATAATTGAATTGAAAGTTGCCACAATTTGTAATTTAAAATCTCAGTTTAAGCCCTGGCTGGCGGAGCTCAGTGGATTGAGCGCAGGCCTGTGAACCAGAAGATCAGGTTTGATTCCCAGTCAGGGCACATGCCTTGGTTACAGGCCAGTTCCGAGCAGGGGACGCAGGAAAGGCAACCATACGTTGGTATTTCTCTCCCACTCTCCTTCTGTTCTAAAGATAAATAAATAAAATCTTTTAACAAACGATCTCAGTTTAACTTGCTTTCCTTCAAATTCTCTCTGCTCTACCTGATAATTCATCCTCACAGAGACTGCACAATTACTGTCATTCACTGTGTTTTGCTGTACATAACAGTTTTGTTGGATTCATTTTATTTCTCTTAAAAATGGCATTCTGCACTGTCATGATGCCCCTTGAAAATTGTCACTTTACCAATGACACCTTAAAAGCAAAGAAAGAGAAGATGACTTCTAATGTACTACCAGCACAGACAAGAATCACAATGGCTGGCATTGCTCTGTGGTCTCTGGGTTTGACCAATTCTGTATTTTTTTAGAGTAAAATGCTTATCCTAAAGTGTGTCTTCACTGACATAATATGTTATTAGCCTATCAATTTTGGATTTTAAAAAGTTCTCAATTAACCTTTTTATTATCTTAGGCTTTATGAACACATTTTTATGCTACTATGTGCAATTCTGATTATGATGCAAAAATATAAAGAACAAAAATAAATGTTAATGTCAATTAAATAAATAAATATATTCCACAGCAACTATTTTGACTTCAAGTAGCTGGATATTGTTAACTCATCTACCAGGATAATCTTATATAGATAGTTACAACTTAAATTCAGGGCACTTTGGAGAAATGCATATGATTATAAACTGTAATAGTAATTCAGGATACATGACCAAGGAATCAGGGAAAAGAAAATATAAATGATGAAATTTTAAGTTCTTAAAATGGAAGATTTAAAAATTCCTGCTTTGTTTAATGTACCAAATTAGGTTATCCAAACATACATGAACTAAAGAAGTAATTAATTTAAATGTTCCTTTGAAAATTTTTTTAAGCTTCCTGACTTTATGATTCTCAATCAGATGCATGAGATGACATAAAAAATATCACAAATAAGTTGATTTAAGGTATTATCTATTCATGGGGTGGAAAAAATGATCTCTATCTCCTTTTCACCTCTCCATTCATCATTTCTGAGTCTTGGAATATAGTATTTCAGTTTTAGGTCTTTTAGCATTTCACTTAACAATCAGTAACTCTCAGATTCCCTATTTATCCTTGGAGTGGGGATGACTCAGAGCTGAGTTGGAACCTTGCCTCTTCTCACTGAAAACACTCACAGGCACACCCCACTTTCATTACTGCTCTAGAAATTGGCCCCAAGAATATAGCAAGCTAATTATTTATACGTTTTCATGAATGTATGACCCCTGAAAGTGGATTGGAGCAAAAACTAGTTCCTACACTGAAAATACCTAACCAAACACTGATTACTTTAACATATTTGGAGTTCAGCCATGGTCCTTGGTTTGGAGATGAAAGAAGTATATTTATCATCTTCCCATTGTATCTCAGGTTCAGTATAAATGGAAGATTATGAGAAAGGCGGTAGGCCTGGTCTTGGCCATGAACAGCAGGCCAGCTAGAAGCTGGCCCCACTGGACAAGAAGAAAGACAGTGTCTCGCCTTTCAGCTCTTTCCCCAAAGTGGCCTTTGAGCTTGCAATTTCCACTAACCAGGAATTCTTAGTAGATAATTATGATCAGTGAAGACATAAGGATGTGCCCAAGCTAATGACGCAAGAGGATAATTTTTCTCATTTGCCAAAAGGTATTAAAGTGTTACTGGATTTGTTTTACTGAAATATTTGTGTGTATTTTAAACTTATTTCAAGTACTTTCTTTGTTTACCTAGTTACTTCAATGTAATTGGGCTCCAGATTCCTAACTCAGCCAAGCTTTTCTGAAACATTACAATTGTCCTAATATATAGAATAATCTATTATAGTCTAGGAAATGAAATCAGACTACTTAGCTCAACTGATGTCACAGATTTATTATGCTGTGATGTCTTCATATGGGAAGAGCCCATGAGCTTCACTGAGGTATGTCCATTTCCTTAGTGTTCAGCTCTGACAATGTTTTTGTCCTGGTACTTAACTCTCTTGGAAGTACTCACATGTGTATTTTCTCATGCAAACTTGCATTTTGCATTTAGCAAAAGATTTTCCTAAGCTTCCTTCTGGCCTACTTCATTACTTGGCTTCACTTCACATGTTCTCATTTTTGAATTTGTTATTCTCTGTGGACATCCATCTTCTCTTCAACAGTCAAAATGTTGTACATCCTGGAATTACTCATACCATAACCTGCTCATGACCCTACTTCTGCTACAGGAATTGCACGGGTGGACCAAACTCATCATATAACCATTGCTGTATTTTTTTTTCCTTTTCAAGTAACTTCAAGTCTCATTTTCCTAATATCTCAATTGAACATTTTCAGATATCATGTCTTCTCTCTCTTTAAAAAGAAAAAGTTCTCACTGCCATTGTGTTTATTGTGTTTATGGTCAAACCCTAGCTCTAAAGTCACAGCTATCATAGGTTTTTCTATGTATAACAACAACAAAAAAGATGAAATAGAACCCTCTGGCCCAGATAATTTGAATAAATTCTATAACCTTTTTTATATGCTCTAGATAATTTACAAGAATATATACATGCTGTTAGTGTTAAATGATTTCTTACTGATTTGGAAATGTATTATTTGTTTCCTTGGGAAAAGGCCAAAGGAAAGGGGGAAGTTTAGAGCATTACGACAAATGCTATTTTGTCACATATCTATAGGAATACAACATGGAATATAGCATCTTATTTTGAAACAACTTTAAAAGCACATCAAAAATCTGGCAAGCCCCTCCTGAATCCCCACCACTATTGAACTGCTCTGATAAAACCTCATCTTTCAAACAGAAAGAAGGCTCCCTCTGAAGGTTCTTGTTAGCCTCTATTATTAGCCATTGCTAATTCTTCCCTCGGCTCCACGGATAAAGACTGGATCCTTGTTCATGTGTTTCAAACATAGCTTCTAGTCCTATACGAGAGTACACAGCTCTCTGGGAGCAACCCTTAGCTGTCAGTGAGGAATCATCAATGATTAATTTAGGGAGCCCATCCTAAGCATGTGGAAGTAGCTTCAGGATAAAGCAGGAAGTGGTGTGTGTCCAGGTGTTAGTGTTGCTTGGCATTCCCAGGTTTCAGAAGATGGTGGAGGAAGCTGGCTGGGGAAGGAGGGTTTGTAGGCACCCCTTGCTGCATATTTTCAGTAAGGCCTGACACGCTACACAGTTGGAAGGCTCAAATTGAGGGGGAAAGCAGTTGGGGCCTAAACTGTATATTCAGAGTAAATAGATGGAAGCAACTATTAAGATTTTATTTGTTGTTTCACTGATTTTTTAAAAATAATCCCTCCCTTTAATTCTCCTTTCCAGGTGCCCAAATGATTGCATTCCCTTCCCAATGGTAAATGCCTGTGGAAGTAGAAGATTGGGTGGTGGGGTGACTGAACCTGGAGTCAGACTGCTCAGTAACAGAATCCCAGCCTCCTCCCACGGTAGGAGGCCTTGAACGGCGGTTCAACTTCGCCCTAACAGAGACGTTTCCTAGGGCGAGCGAGCACCTGGCCTTTTCCCCATCGTTGCTGTCAGTCATCATCCCTGCTCGCTGTGCTCACCTGATTTTTGGACCGCAATTTAAGAAGGTCGGTTCTGTAGATAGCTCATAATGGTTTTCCTAAGGTGGCAGACACATTGAGCTGGTGATTTTGTAATTGGCTGATTTGAAAGAACAAGGGTGCGTCCAATTAAAACACATTTATTGAAGAGCGACTTGATGCGGAGCGGTGAGGATTCAATGGAAAACCTCCTGGACAAAGATTCTGCTTTCCTGGAGTTTATGTTCAGGTGGGATTAAAAGTTACTTCTCAACATCTGCGCTGAGCAGATGGGTAACGGGACCCAGCTCAGCACGAAGACTGCTTGAAGTTCACTTAAGCAGCACGGTTTTCTTAAGGGTTTTTGTAAACTGGCCTCAGTTCCCCGAGGACAAAATTTGAAAGAATATAAATTGCACAGCAGCGAATCGGGGGAGGCGTCACTTGAGGTGGCGTCTATTAGAGTCAATACGGCGGAACCAAGGGACTTAGCTGGAGCCTGAAAACTTCCAGCCAAACTCAGACTGCAACCCCCCACCCTTCACCTCCGCCCCTTGCAGCAGTCAGGGCCGCCAAAGGAGCGCTGTCCAAGGGGTATTCCTGGGAGACCAGGGGGATCGGAGAAAGTGGACTCCGCCTTCTCTTCTCCGTTCTCATCCCGGCCATGGGCTTTGCCCTGGAGCGCTTCGCCGAAGCCGTGGACCCGGATTTCGAGTGCAAGCTGTGCGGCCAGGTGCTGGAGGAGCCCCTTTGCACGCCTTGCGGGCACGTCTTCTGCGCCGGCTGCCTGCTGCCCTGGGCAGCGCGGTGGCGCCTGTGCCCGCTGCAGTGCCAGCCCTTGGCGCCCGGCGAGCTGTACCGGGTGCTGCCTCTGCGCAGCCTCATCCACAAGCTGCGCATCCGGTGTGACTACTGCGCCCGCGGTTGCGGCCGTTCGATCCCGCTGCACGAGCTGGAGGCTCACGTCGAACGCTGCGATTTCGGCCCTTCCCGCAGCGGCCTCTGGGGCTACGTTGTGGGGCCGGGCGGCCGCGGTGGCAAGGACGTGCCAGCGCGGGGGGGCTGCGGCACTGCGCCCAGGGCCGCCCGGGACGGGAGCGCGCGCGGGGGGCTGCCGAGCGGCCGCTGCGGGAGCGGGCGGGGGCCGGGGCCTCGAGTACTCGCCTGGAGGCGGCGCGAGAAGGCGCTGCAGGGCGAGGTGCCGCTCACTGCCCGCAGGTACCAGGAGAAGTTCACCCAGTACATGGCTCACGTCCGCAACTTCGCCAGGGACCTGAACGGTGGCCACGGCCGGGTAAGCGCAGAGGGGTAGGGCACTAGGGAAACGGTCCACTGGGGTGGAAAGAGGAACGGTTCTATCTGTACTTTAGGATTCCGGTGGACGGTGATAGTCCCTTCCTTGTCATGCAGGAGAAAGCACCCACCCGTCCTGATCTTTCTGTGCTATCATTCATCTTTCGAATGTTTTGGGAATGCGGTTAACAAGGATTCCTTCCTCTCCGCTTATATTAGGATCATCCAGAGTTAACCAGTTCCTATTCCAACTTTTCCACGAAGAAGGATGAATTAAGGAAACGCAGTTTCTCACTCAGAAACTTGCTGCCCGTCTTTCGATCTCCTACCTATGTTTTGTACTTGGCCCATACCTGAAGGCAGAAAAAGATAAGCCAGGAAGCCGGGACCTCTGCGACCTTGCCTCCCCTCTTCCCTGCACCAGCATCCCGGCGGCCTGGTCAGAGGCAAGCCTTTGGCTCTGAATGACTTAGTTTCCCCTGTGAGACAGCCCATGTCAGCCACCTTCTTTTACTCAGTACAGGGATTATCGGAGATGTGGGGAACTAAAGTTAAAAGATTAAGAGATGAGATTCTTTTTTTGGCTGCAGAGTTATTTTCATAGTCCTTACCTGCCCTCGCGTTTCATTATTGGTGAAGTGTGCGTGTGTGACTTGGGGAACCAAGTCTGGCAGCAGCCACAGCCATCTGCGGTCAGGGGACCCCCGGCGCAGAGGCTGTTTCCCTTCTTTGTCGAAGCTGCTGGCCCCGAACAGTGAACAGTGCTTGTGGTCTGCCCACTTTCAGACCGAATAAACAAGCCTCTTTGCAGCACCCCTCGTGAAGAGGCTTGTTTATAATACTGTTACTTCTCTTCTGGAGGACTTCTGCACAGTGTTTGACATTGTTGGTCGCTGCCATGGTGAGCAGGGATTTAGCAGAACTTGCACTCCATTCAAGGAGCTGTTTTCATTCTTCAGCGTCCTGGGGAGGAGCAACCCAGAACCATTCCCATTTGAGACTGCTGCCAGCTCAGGCATGGGATTAAGATGCTTCTGGCCTTGAAAAGTGAAATGTGAGGGGCTAAAATGTTCCTACTGATACACGGAAGCATACTGCTCGTTAAAAGCCTGGATGCTATGATTCTCTCTCCATCCCTCTTTTATCCAGGTAAACTTATAAAATGAGAAGAGCCAAGAGAGAAGCACAGAAATAACGCTCTGTAGTGCCAGTTCAGGTTTCCAGTTCTTAGGGAAGCAATGGCTGATGGAAAAGAGCCACGGCTAGAATTATATGAGAGAAGTCATTCAACAAGTCAAGCTATTGTTCTGAGAAGTGAGGAAAAACTGCCCGCCCGTGATTTGCAGACTTAATGATTGGAAAGCTTCTCTGTGCTCCTCAGAAATGTTTTCACACGACCAGTAGGGGCCGCTGTGTGCACTGCTGGGGAAAAGCTCCTGGGAAAAAGGTGGTGATGATGGTAGCGGTGGTAATGATGCTCCTGAGATTTTTATCATTCAGAAGTAATTACCAAATATATAATAACCTAGGATAGCCAATAATATCCATAGTGTGAAACAAAACCCGTCTGTTCTGGCACTATTCATCTTGTTTTAAAATTGGGTCTTTACTAATAAACAGGTTGTAGGTAAATGCCTAGGTGTTTAACTCCGATTTGGCCGTTGGAAGAGAAATACTACTTTACCTGGCAAAAATCCTGTTTTTAAAAAATCCTTCAAGAGTTATGCAAAACCAGATAAGAATATTTACAATTAGGATGACTGTAACTGGTCAGATCCTGCATTACAATAGTAACCCAAATAGTCCAGTTGAATGGAATTTATAAATAGTTCATTATTTCTTAAGGCTTTCTGTAGTGAAATTGTTACATAAAATAATTCTCAGATTCTTTCACAATTTATTTTACTCCTCTGTAATAAGGGGAAAGAATAAGAATAGCTACAGAGCTAAACCAGAAATCTGTTTTAAATTACAGTGAAGTCAGAATTAGATGATGAACACATTAGTATAAAAGTTGCATGTGTAAAAATGTAATACCATTCAGTAGAAAACAGTTATTTTTCTCACATGCATGGTGGTTCCCTTCAAATACATAACTTTCAAAGTTAGGTTAGGAAGAAAGTAACCTTCTCTCAAATTCAACCATTCTTAATTTTAAGGATTTCCTCTTTTCAAATGTTGACTTATTTGCAGGAAAAAAACATTACTCTAGCATTTATTTTCTAAACTATCTTTACTTAATTTGTTATTTTATTCCCTCTCTTCCAGGATGGAGAATATAAGCCATTCACCATTGTATTAGAGAGAGAAAATGACACTCTGGGATTTAATATTATAGGAGGTCGACCCAATCAGGTAACCCACCTGTTAATGCATAGCTCACTCTTTGCTTATAAAATAATAGAAAACTTACCTTTCATTTGTAGATTTTGAGTAAGAAAAACCTATTTCACAATAATGTGTATGGGCAATTTCTATTTACTGATATAGGGCAATTGTGTTGCCTGCTGTACCTCCTATTTATTATGTTAGATTGGTCAGTTTTCAGATACTTACACAGGCCAGGCTGTATATAATATATGTTGAATGAATAAAGGAAGAGTTAAAATAAGTTTTGAAATAAAGAGCTTTTGTTTTCACAAGTACCTAGGAAATGCCATGTTGAAGGACAAGAGTAAATCTGAAATATTTTTGGCTCCCCAAATCAAATCTTTTATTTAATCAAATGAATAATACTTTCTACATTGAAGCCAATTGTTTTCAAAATGCATGGGTTATAAATTACACTGTACAATGTAGTTGCAAAGTTCTGTTATATCCTTTAAATGCTGCATCAACTTAATCTTCACCATAACTAGAAAAAAGTGGTGAAGTCTTTTTAAAAAATTGTGTTCTTTCATTTTCCCAGTAAACTGCCATGAAATTTTTGCATCCTGTATTGCAGATGTTGTCTTGGAGTGGCTGGCCATATGCTCTGTTTAGGTCAGGATGGCAATGACATATTTCCTCTGTGTTTGCTATTTCAAAAACCTAGCAACTAATGACTGCTTGGCTTCTGTTTCTAGAACAGCCTCCACTTATTAGGGGAAATATGGATGTCTTTTTCATCATATCATTTTTGTCTCATTTTTCCCTAAGGAATAGTGTTATAAATGCCTGTTAGGTGTTTGACATTTAGATGACATTGGCCATTTTTTAGAGCCTCTTAAAATGCATGTTAAGGAAGGCTAATTAAGGAGAAATAATTTTATTTAAATTGCTATGAGCTACAATGACATTTAAAATTACACAACATATTATTATAGGATACTGAGCATTTTTTCTGAATAAGTTTTTTAATGTAATTGATTTCCTGAGACTGGCTAAAATGTCTACTTGTACCATATTGGCTATGCATTTGAGGTTTAACTAATCATCGGGCTCATTACACCTGGAAATGTGCAAAGATTAGCTCTGGTAGGTTCTCTTGCGATTTAGAGTTGATCTTTTGGAGTCTCACACTTGAGCAAGCTCCCAGTCTTCCCTGTGACGGGGAACAGAGCTCTGTTTCCAAATCTGTCACATCATGAGGCTAGGTTACATTTTCAAAACTATGACCACATCTCAAACCAATTATATAGTGAGGCTGGATATCCTTTTTGTTTTCTTTAACTTATAACCCTTTTTCATTGCACCTCTTTAGAAGTGAGACATTTTGTAAAGCATACATGCCCTTCCCCCATAGCTTCTTATGTATATGCAGAAACATAAATAGGTGATCTGGTCAGAGATGCTGCACTTGTTCTTTAAAGCTGCCATCTTGATTAATGACTGGTATTAAGTTAAAATTCAATGTCAAATCCTCAAGTGAAAAAGATGGTTTCATGTTAAAGAGGACTGACTGTGTGACATTTACTAAATTGTCCTTGATCCAACGTAAAATTTTGTTTACATCTTTCTTCCTGCTAATGGTTATGTTTCTTAACAAAATAACCAGGAAGAAATATCAACAGAAGGAATTTATGTTTCAAAAATTTTGGAAAATGGACCTGCAGACAGAGCAGATGGCCTGGAGATTCATGACAAAATCGTTGAGGTAAGACAATACTAAACCACAAAGATGACTCATGGAAGAAACATTTGGACATTTAAATTTCTAAACTTATTGATTTATCTGGGTGTGGAACTTATTAGCATGCATATCTAGCTAGAGTATAAGTATGTATCTCACCTATATCAATGATTAGATATTTGAATAAGATAATAATAATTCATCCAAAGTTTCTAAGTATATGAATGAATATCTCTGTTTTAATAATTGCCTTTCTTCATTAACTGTGAAGGTAGTTGTGTGATAATGAAGGGGTTAATATTTATAACATTTCAAAAAAATAATAAATCTCTTCTGAAGGACATTTTTGATAAGGAAACATTACTATTTTTAAACTTGATATTGGAGTTTGAAGCTATTCAGAACATTTCTTTTACTATTTTTTAGTTTAATATGGTTGTCTTCCTCATGTCTTTTTTACATGACTTAAAGGAAGCAGCTCTTTTTCTTCCTGTTGTAAAAACCTGGTGAGAACTCTTCATTTTTCTGTAGGGTGCATTGTAGCTGTATTGTTGTATTGGGGTTGGCAAAGTTAATACTTTCAAGTTGGTGAAATTTGGGCTATCACAATAGAATTTGGAGTCACTGCCATTCACATCAGTGTTTTAAAATTTTAACTGGCTGAGATAGTGTTATTTAGTGCTACCGTAAGTGATTAGGGTATTTGTGTCAGTGGAGTTATCTCCAATGTATTAGAAAGTTGTAAGGTGTGTTTGACGCCACTGTACTTTTGGGAAAATGCTATTCATTCTAGATTACATAATCAGTAGTGTTATCTTTCTGAATGTTTCTTTAAACTGTCTTGATGTTTTTTCTTTATTAAACTCTGAACAAAGTTTTAGATTTTCACTCATTATTTGTTTATTTTTAAAAAGTTGAATGTTGAATCATTTGACCTAGGATTGGGGTAAACAGTATAGAAGAGAGAATAATTTTTTGTTTTGGAAGAAGAGGACTTATAACATGTATAAATTAGCTGAATAGGCACTTTGAGGAAGAGAAAAGAGAAAAAATTGGCTGAAATGCTGTGTTTTTTATCTGCAGAAGCCTCTTGTGGCACAATTCTCCCCTTCCAGTTGTGTAGCCAAGAATAGACAGGCCTGCTTTCACAGGCTCTGTCCAGGTTCTCTGCACAGTTTGCCCGAAGGCACATTTATATCACAGTCTAAAGTTAGAATTTTTCTATTTCTACTTGTCTTTGTGCAGTATAACTAAAAGGGCCACATAGCAAACAAGCTGTCTTTTTTTTCTGCCTTTTCTCTAAAGCCTTTTGGTTTTTCCATTTAACTGCATTTAAATTTCCATTTCACTGCCTTTGATACTATTAGAAGGGCTGTTGGAACTGAATACAATTAGTACACACACACACACACACACAGCAGAAACACATACTAGGGATTTAGAAAATAATTTATTTAGCTAGGTAACAATGTTATATATGCTTTATTAATGTTGCATTAAAAAGAGGAGGGATAATTTGTCTTTTATACTGTGATATACTACTTTTGTTAAAAATTTATTGGTTTTATTCATGTAAGGAGGTAATGTTATAAAGAATATGGTTGATAAATGAAGTGCATCCAAATATCTATCTAATGCTATTACTAATATATGTCCAAATAAGCTTATTCAAATCATATAAGATAATGATCAAGAATAACAACCATAAAAACCTAAATTATGATTTATGACTAGCTGTTATACTAGTATTATTTCACCTTGATGTGCATATATTAGCAGATAAATGAGAGCTTGAAATTTGCTTCATTGGTAGAACTTATCAATGTATATTTTCTGCCAGGGCACACTGGTAATATGCATATTTTTGTTAGGGTTCTATAATAGATTCATGTGACCACATTTGCAATTAGGAAATAAGTTAGATGATATGTATATTTCTGAAATGTTGTCTGTTAAATAGCATGAAATATTTTGGAAGGAAGGTTATTAGAATTAAATCTTACATATTTAGTCATTCAGTGATGCCATTAGCTTTTTTTTTTAAGAATTTTTATTTATTTATTTTCAGAGAGAGGAGAAGGGAGGGAGAAAGAAAGGGAGAGAAACATTGATGTGTGAGGGAAACATCAATCCATTGTGCCTCTCACATGGCCCCAACTGGGCACCTGGCTCGCAACCCAGGCATGTGCTCTGATGGGGACTTGAACCAGTGACCTTTTGGTTTACAGGCCAGTAGCCGCACTCAATCCACTGAGCCACACCAGCCAGGGCACAGTCAGCTTTTAAAAATAGATATTTGTGTGACGTTATTTGATTCATGTATTTAAACAAGTAGCGTATGGGTGTAAAAGATCTATATATACCAATTAAAGTTAGAAATATTTAATGCTTGCCAGTTATTGTAGCTCATCTGCTGCTGGGGTGCCCGTTAACTTTACACATTTTATAGTAATAGGAGGCTTATAAGAAATGTATTAATTAACTTAAAATACACAGAAGAAGAAAGAGCTTTAAAATAATTTTCCCATTTTTTTATACTCAATGATTTGTTTACTGAACTCCATTGCATTTAAAACCATGCTGATTTAAACCTGGTGCAACAAATGAATTTGTTAGCAGTATAAAGTGCACCAGTAGTTCATACATTATAAAAGGACTCATAGACCTACGTGCTACAGTCTGACACATTACCAAGTGCTTTGAATTCAGCGATATATGACTGAAATAAAGAAACTGTTAGGCAGCTTATTTTTTTATTACAATCAAGATGTGCTAAAATTTTGGCAAGTGAATTGCTCACAGCACACATTACCACAGGGTCTGATCAAATAAAATATTTTCTTAAATCATTCAGTTGAAGGAGAAAATAGATATGCTATTAAAGATTTGGTTCTATTCATTAAAGAGATTTTACTAATCCTCCTAAAAACACTAGATGTAATTTTGCCAAAGTTTAACAGGAGCCAGCAGCTCCCCAGTGGTATTGGAAACATGTTGCTTCCCACTGAAACTGATCAAATAAATGCAAGACTTATGACAGGAAAAGTCATAGTCATGAGGTATTCTATGTCGTATTTCTCACGTAATACAAGGCAAATTCAGTCTTGGAGTCAGTTCCATTAGAAACCATGTTTATCCCTTTCCGGGTATTTAAACAGCTGCATTCATTAACATAGCTATGTGTGTACGTTCAGGGAAGACATCAGTGGTGATATGTAAGTTATGCCATCAGGTGCTTAAGTACCACTGGAGACTGAACAGGCAGAAGATATTTTTCAAGGCTTTTTGAGACATCTCAGAAGTTTACATAGAGCAGGCATTCACCCGAGTATACATCCAAATAAAAGCTGGTTTTTTTACCCCTTCCAGACTCAAAAGAACCATAGAAGATGCTCAATACTATCAGAGGCCTAGGCACAGTTCTCTAAGAGGTGGATGCCACTACTCTGGTTACCATCATGTTAGACGCCTGAGGGCAGGGAGTTGAGAATCAAGGTTCAGTGCTGCAGTCAGCAACTCTTCCTCTGTTATCATCTCTGTGATGCTGATAGCAGACCCTGCAATCAGGACCCCAGAGTGGGAAAGTGAGGAGGAGAGTGGATAGTCATTTACGGGCCTTGGTTCACACATTCTTCTCCTTACCCTTCCCCCAGGTCCCCGCCAAGACTGTGTGGCAGGCGAGTCCCCACTTCTCTCAGTCTCTGGAGACCAGGGAGTGAGGGTGGGGTCTGTGCAGTTTATGAGAAGAATAGTTTGGGGCAGAAAGCAGACTTTTTATTAGTATATATATTAAAATCCCTTCTGCTTATTTAGTTTGAAATCATGGTGAAATGTAGGACACAAGGCCTTTTCATTTATTTTAGAAATAGATCCCACATTGAACAATGTCAGGGCAGCACTTTCTAGAAAGTGCTGAGTTAGTCAGTGCCAGGAAGGACTTTACAAATGTAATGTCTCAACAAGAATTTCTTAACTATTTCAGACTGCTACACTTTTTTTTTCTGGAACCTTCTACCTTCCACCTTTTATGCCATTACTCTCTGCACTGCTATAGTAAGAATCTTTGCTGGTTATCACATTTATTTGCCTAAGGCTCTGCACAGTTCCATCACAGCTGTTTTAATGCCGGAAATTTAAATGCAGATCGGAGCTGAACATTCAGGAACGCTGTTGAAGCAGATATACAATGTGCTGTGTCTTTATGTGCCCGATGGCACAGTGGCCCTTATTGCCTCACAGAGCAGCCCTACTCATTTGTGTATGTGTGAAAAGCACTTATAAGTTTTGTAGATCACTTGTAAGGCTGGTGGGCCATTTGTTTTTTGACAAATTGCTATTAATTCAAACGCATCACTGAACTCTTCAAAAATTACTTTACATTTTAAAAGTGTATTTTAAGTGTTTAAAAGCATTGACTGATTGAAAGAATTAAGAAAGAACTAAAAGCAATGGTGTTAATGCAAGTAAAGAATCACATTGTAATGAGGTGTGTAGTCATGGTTAAATGTTACTTTCATTGAATGTAGTTTTAACATCATGATATAGGTATCATTATATAAATGCATATTTAATGTCCTTTGAAAATGACTGTGGTGGAGTAGGAGAAGCATGAATACTGAAATTGAGGAAATCTGGCTGGAATTCATCTCCTGACTCTTGAAACTGTGTAGCCTCAGTTTCTGTGCCCCAGCTGTGCCTCGGTTTCTATGGCGTTCATGGTTACTGTGTACACAAAGTGCCTGCACAGGGCAGGCTCTCGGACCCACCACTGGGAGCCTGCTGTGTCTCCTTCAGCTGATGCAAGTAGCTTGTTCTCCAGGTGCGCCGAGACCATAGAGGGCTGGGTATTTTCCTACCTTGGAGAATCCAGGTCACTCTCTCCCAGCTTTCAGTGATTCCCATTTCCAGACACCACGGTTTGGATGAGCAACTATAGGAAGCTTTAAGTTGTTCAATTTTCACATATTCATATGTACAGTCGGATGCAAAAAGGGATATGGGAGAAAACTTTATAATTATATACT